ATACAGAATCTGAAGCAGGCTCCAGGCTCTGAGCTAGCTGTCAGCACAGAGCCCGATGCAGGGCCCAAACCCACGAACCGTGAGATCATGACCTGAGCCGAAGTCGGATGCTTAACCAGCTGAGCCACCCAGGCGCCCCAAGTTCATTTTTAATTGCATGGAATGTACTTTCCTATACATATGCCTATTATAATTGGCCTTGGGCTGTTAGATACTTGAGGACAAAAACACTGAATGGCCACACTCCTGGCATTATGGCTCAGCGTATGATAGGTGCTATTCACCAATGTCTATGTACCTTCCAGATACATTGATTTCTCCAGCTCACTTCGATGTTAGATCATGGAACGTATTTTGGCAATCAAATGTGAGTGAAAATAGAAATTTATATGTCAGGGTGGAGCTTCCATCATCCTGTGTTCCTGAGTAACTACAATGAGATCCACTGCTAATTTGTGTTAAGCATCTAACATGATGGAAATATAAACTTTTGTTATGTTAAGTCACTGAGACTTGGGAGCTGTTTGTTTCTACAGGATATCCTTGCTTCTCAAAGTGTGGCCTTTGGAACAACAGCACCTGAGAGCTTGTTCAAAATGGAAAATCTCATTTCCTACCCAAGACCCACTATATCCATATTTGATTCTAAGAAGCTCTCCTCATGTTTCATATGGTTATTGAAGCTCAAGAAGTACTGACCTAGACTATCTTGACAAGTACGGAAATTGTTGCTTAAAAGTGGTTGAATCAAAACCTAAAATGGTACACAGAGAGCAAGGAAGGACGGCAATGCATGCTATGTGGTGGAAAAAAGGAGCTTGACCGATGGAAAATAATATAATTATACAGGGACACATTGGAAAACAGGACATCAGTAGCGTGTGTTGGTTACTGTTGGCTGGATTTAATGAGATAGTACAAGAAAGAGATGAGCTACAGAAAGAAATGACTGAATACAAGCACGAATCAAAGGGATTCAAAAGGACAATGCAACAATGTGAGTGCACTTAATGTCACTGAACTGTAGACTTAAAAATTAAAATGATAAATTTTATGTTATATGTATTTTATCACATTAGAAATAAATAAGTTTCTTTAGTGACATATTTGAACCCGTCATTAAAGGAAAAAAAGATCTGGGGCACCTGGGTGGCTCAGTTGGTTGAGTGTCCAACTGGTAGTTTCTGCTCAGGTCGTGATCTCACAGTCATTAGTTCAAACCCCACCTCAGCCTCCACGCTGGGAATTCTCCTTCTCTGCCCATTCCCTGCTCACATTCTCTCTCTCTCTCAACAAACAAACAAACAAACATAAAAAAAAGAAAAAGAAAAAGAAAAAGAAAGGATTCAAGAAAATCCAGAGTCATAGACTTCAAATGGACAAAATATCTAAGGAAAAGAAACTAAATGCATGAGTCTCCTCCAAAGCCTGTTAGGCTCAAAGGATACATGAATAAGAAAAGAAGGAAGGAAGGAAGGAAGGAAGGAAGGAAGGAAGGAAGGAAGGAAGGAAGGAAGGAAGGAGGGGCGCCTGGGTGGCTTAGTCGGTTAAGCGTCCGACTTTCGCTTAGGTCATGATCTCGCGGTTCGTGGGTTCGAACCTCGTGGGTTCGAACCTCGCGTCGGGCTTTGTGCTGACTGCCAGCTCAGAGCCTGGAGCCAATTTCAGAGTCTGTCACTCCCTCTCTCTCTGACCCTCCCCTGCTCACGCTGTCTCTCTCTCTCTCCTAGAAATAAATAAAAAATATTAAAAAAAAAAAAGAAAGAGAGGAAGGAAGGATGGAAGGAAGAAAGAAAGTAGATAGAAAGAAAGTCATGAGGCATAAAGGAGAAACATAACAAGCCTAACAAATAGGTCGAGATCTGAACTGTCCAATATGGTAGCAGTAGCCACAGGGTACTGGTGAGTCCTGGAAGTGTAATGCCTGTCTCCTCTTCTTCCCATTCTTGAATGGGAATGTCTGTGTGGTCCCCTGTTCCACCATTATTCATTGGCTTGAGGGAAGGTATCACATAAGTTGTCCTTTTGGTTTATTGATTTCCAAATAAAGAGGAGCCACATCTGGACCTGATATAGAGACACTTTTTACCTTTTCAAAGTTATTCCTGCACCCCAAAACTCTGATATTCACCCCACATTCCACCAGTGAAAATTGCCATTACAGCATAGAAGAGACTAGGCCTCATAAATTCACATTTATTTATGTGCAGCATCTTGAATTATGGACAATACTTCTATGTATCTTGAAATATTCACACCTTGAAATAATTTATGCCCCATAAGCAGAGGCACACATTATCTAATGGCCACTGGTTTTTGCCCCATCTTGAGTACTAAAAGGTGATATTCCCAAAATACTTGTTTACTAAACAAGTATTTGTTTACTAAATATTTGTTTACTAAAAAACAGATTTGGGGACAGTATATAATATCAAGTTTATAATTTTATTTTATTTTCAGGAGCTAAATCATTTGAAACTGAGAAATGCCCATCCTACAGATGATAAATACTGTCCAGGAAAGTTCATCACCAATGAATGTACCTTCTCATTTTGCAGCAGGTGCTGACAATTTGGCAGGAAGACCAAAAACACTCAGTATCACACATCAGAATGACCAGTTAAAATGAGTGGTCTGGTCCTCTCATTTTATTAACCATTTCTTTGAACACATATTTTTACATCAAATAAAGTCCCTGCATAAACAGAAAAAGTTAATATATAATACCATACAACAGTTACACAGATTATTGGGGGGGGAGGGGCTTTGTGTTGGGATTCTAGGGATTGGCTCACTTACAGATATTTTACCCTGTCACTATATACATGTATTCCTTCCAACTGAAGACACATCTCAACACTGGTTACTTCTGCCTCATTTATAAAGATAGTAAAACATTTGAACAGTTCCTTAGAAGCTTTTATAGAAAAGGTCATGAAGCACCAGAGCAAAGTTAGCCTAACAAGTAGTGGGTTCCCAGGTGGAGCCAATGTAAACCTCTAGAGCCAAAGTTTGATTCTACCCAAGGATCAGAGAGACCTAGTGACCTCAATTAGCACTTAGTGAGTGCTACCAGGCAATCTGCTATTGAGCAGCAGATTAAGTACACATTTGTTTAGCAGCAATAACAAACATTGCCTGAGGGCCTACTTTGTCTCAGAAACTGCTGCAGACCACAGGGCCACAGAGATGAGCAGATGGGCCGAGATGCCAGCTTGCATAGAATGTAGGTTCCTGAGATGTCCTATGTAAACATGGACTGCGGTTTCCCATCATAAGTATATTGTAATTACTTACATTCATGGATACACAAAGGATTGTTCAGTTAAAAGGACAAGAAACATTTGAAGAGTTAGCTGTTCCTTCACACCTCTGTTGTCAACAACCTGCTACTTTGCCATTTTCTAAAGAATTGGATGTTTTATGCACTTTCCTGCTTGTGCCAGCACTGTTTTGTTTTGTTTTCCTAGACTCTGAGCTGTCAAGGGTGGGGATCCTGTCTACAAGTTATTTATGTAAACCATACCCAGGAAGTTCCTCTGCCCCCTGAGCCGTTGACAGCTCATTATTATATGACCCTAATGGTCCCCGACTTTATTTATCCTATTTCTTTCATTGGGAACAGTCTAGACATGAATATTTAAAAGAGAAGATATTAATACCAAAAATATGAGAACTGTAAGGACCAAGCCCTACAAGTCAGATAAGAACACTGAGACAAAGTGGTTAGAGACTTGCCCAAGGTAACAGAACTGCTCTATGGCAAAACAGGCCGCCTGGTTTCTGGGCCACTCCTCCAACTACTGACCAGTGGCCATTGTCCTCTGCATCTTTCCCTAGTATTTATTCAATCTGCAACATTTCTTTAAAATAAATAGTCAATCTTTATGGTGCTTCACAAGTTTTTGAAGTGTTCTCACATTTTTTCATGCAGATCTCAAGACCATCCTATGAGGTTTGCACAGATGTGGAACCTGAAATGAGATGATTAAGGTAACATTGCCTGTTGGTGGCAAAGTTAAGACCTGAACTTGAATTTTCTCCCTCCATTCTACATTGCAGAAGACAGGACTCCCTGGGTTAAAGATAGGCACCCGACCTCAGCTGCTGGAGTTAGATTGCAATGTGCAAAGATTACGGTGAGGGGGTTTCAGACTCCAAGACAGATTCTGAGAAGTTCAAAGATAACTTGGGTATGGGCATGTGGTACCTGCAGGGTGGGGGTACCTAGAGTTCCTGACATGACCCCAAAACACTCATTTGGAAACCTTGGACCGACTCAGAACAAGACAATTATGATAGTCACAGAGACTTTCACATTGCATGAAGCAAGTTTTGTAGCATGAAGGTTTATGTCCCGGTAAGTGCAAAAACATGATTGACAGAGTGTAGTTAAGGAAATTCCATCCCTGGACAGTTATGAACATAAAAATCAAAAGTTCAGGAAAGGAGAGCTGTAGAGACATCCTATAACTAATGAGCTGGAAATTTCAAATGCAAAGAATTTGACCACTCAGTTCTGCCGTGATAAGCGTGCATGACTCCCACAAGCATCAGGCAAAATTATGAAACTGCTTTTGGGGAAAGAAAGCAATCACACAGCTCTTCTTTCAGTTATAATTATGGTTTCAGTTATAGCTGTTCCTCACACTGAAACCTGCACCCGGGATGTTTTATCTTCCCTGAGCACACACTTACTAGATGGAGGATAGAGTAAACCACCAGAAATGGGTGGGAGCAGGAGAAAACGTAGGAGAAAAACAGTATAGTAAGAAATTGTCACACTCCATTTTGAAATCGTTTAAGCAACATTTACGTGTCTGACCTAACAACTGCCACAGGGGAAAAAAAGTGCAGCACAAATTCCACAGAAAAAAAGAGAAACAGTTCTGGACAGTTTTGATTTCTAGTTTTCTGGCTTACTCCTTGGCTATACCAACTGAATTTGTCATAAGGTAAATGAAGGATAAAAGAGAGCCACAGAGAGAAAAACTTTTTGTTTAATACCTGCCAAGGAACCTACAGGGTATTCTCAAGGCATGGCAACAAATAATCTCTTTAAAGGACTTCCTCATCTCCTGGCTGCGGAAGGCATATATCAGAGGATCGATCACAGAATTACACATGATGAGTATGAGGTACATATTAAAGTAAGACATAAAGCAGGAACAGTAGAGGTTCTGGGGGCAAGAAATCATCAAAATGAGATGGAGAAAGAATGGAGCCCAGCATATGATAAAAATGCCCAGCAGCATGGTCAGGGTGACAGCTCCTTTCATGCTGGTCATTTGTCGCACAGAGCTGTACCCACGCAGAGCTGTTATCCGCTTGACATGAGCCCTTGCCAGGAGGAACATGTGTATATACAGAGATGCCATGAGGAACAACATGGTAAAGAACATGGAGATGAGGCAAATGATGACATAAGTGGATTCATAGTAAATGATGAAAACAATGCCACAGCCTGTGCAAAAGGTCCAGATACACGCAATAATTACCCCAGAACGCTTCACTGTCATGATGTGGTGGTAGCGCAGAGCATAGAAGATGGTGACATATCTATCCACGGCAATGGCCAGCAAACTACACATGGAGGCCACCACAGAAATGCAGATCATGGAGTCAAACACATTGTCAATGTGACGCACAAAGGCATCTGCTATCACCAGGTGCTTATTATTTATTAAGTATATGGTAATGGTCTCCCAGGTGTTAGACATGCTTACCAGCATGTCAGCTACTGCTAAACTGCACACAAAGAAATACATGGGGGAGTGCAAGTTCTTGTTCTTCACTATGGCACCTATGACCAAGATGTTCTCCAAAAGGCTGATGAGACCCAGAGTCAGAAACACTTCCACAGCGATGCCCATCTCTTCACACAGTGAAGATTTGTTCTTGACATTTGGTCCTGAAAAGTTACCTTCTGTGGCATTCAGGTTGAGATCCAAGAAAAGCACATGAAATGAGGAATTCATTGCTCCTCTTCTTGGCAACAAAATTACTGTAAAACAGGTTTAAAAAATTTTTTTAAATGTTTATTCATTTTTGAGAGACAGAGAGTGAGTCAGAGGGGCAGAGAGAGAGGGAGACACAGAATCTGAAGCAGGTTCCAGGCTCTGAGCTGTCAGCACAGAGCCCAACTTGGGGCTCCAACTCACTGACTGCAAGATCATGACCTGAGCTGTCGGATGCTTAACCCACTGAGCCACCCAGGTGCCCCTGTAAAACAGGTTTTAATTCGTGATTCAGAGAGATTAACAGTCTATCAAAGAAGCACAACAGCATGCCAAAAGCAAGCACAACCTAAGGACGAAGTTGAATGGGCTCCACACATTAATTGAGGCTAATGTGTCCCAGTCTGCCTGGGACCCTGGAATAGTGTACCTCCAACATGCATGCAGGATTAGAGTTTTTGCCATCCTCCTCTGCCTTTGGGCTCCCATTCTTTCGCACACCTCTTACTGGAATGACCATACTTTTCAGCGTGCCCAGAACGGTTTCACTTTTTATGTTCATTGTTCTGGCACCCAAGTTTGCTCTCAAAAGTGTCCCAAACTCATAACCTACAAAGTCCCTTCCCATCTGATTTTTACATTTCTGAGGCTATGCACTGCATTGTTTCAAGTGAGCACAGATTTCTAAATGATATACAGGCCCACGTTCTCTTAAGAGAGAAAGACAGGTGTCTTCTCAATATTCGCCCCCACACACTTCTAAAATCTACTAGGACTCAGTCTCCCTAGTTGTAACTAAGACTAACTACTGTGATCTGTTAATTTGAGCATAACTGCATATAAAAATTTACTGTCTTTAATATGTAAATTTAGGTTACACATGTGTGAAAATTGGAGCTCACAGAATGCGGTTTTTCACTTTATATTTTCCCTGACTTCTGCATTTGAAATTCCATAAAGTGTGATTAACAGATAGTCTTAAAATTCCAGAAAAACACAGTACAGAGAAACAAGGGATTTAAATTTGCCAAATTCTAGAGCAAGATACTTCACTCTTGTTGCTCAGTTTCTCTCCCATGATTTATATTCACAAATGCCTTTGCCCTCCGAACTCAGAGCACATCTAGGGAGAGAGTTCTAATTTCTGTCAGCATTCTCATCATCAGTACAAAGTATGCATTGAACTGTAATCATTTGTTACTTATGTCTAATTCTATCTCAGAGATAATGACCAATTGTATTATTATAGTAAACATCATATCAGGTTGTTTAAGTATCCAGTTAGCTCTCTCCTTCATGTACAGATTAGGCATGATTTTGCATTCTTTTCAAGGCAATTTTAATACAAAGTGTGGCTATTTACCAGTGCTCCCTCGCGCCTCTTCTCTTGCACAGCAGCCCTTGGGCTTCTCAATGGGGACGCTAGCTCAGCCTGGGTACCTGGCATCCACAGGCTAAACGCCATCACCCCAGGACAGGATCCTTTGAACCAAGTGCTAAGGCAGCTTGAGTCTCAGTCATTGTTCCCTTGCCTTTATGCTGTCTACTAGCAGGCCCGCCTCCCTGTCACCGCCTCTTCTCCAAGGGAGTCTGTGCTTCTGTCTTCTCAGACACGGGCTGAGCTACCACCTAGTGGTCAGAGACGGAGAGCATGCCCTTCCTGGCTTCTCTGCCCATTGGCCTTTGGGGCTCTGATAACACTTGCATAGAACAGTGTTCTTCTGTTTGTGGAAAATCCTTCCCCCAAACTGCATTCAGATGTGTTTTCTAGCTAGTTGTATTTTTTTTTTCGACGTTGCTTGTTTTTCTCTTTCTTATGCACTGATGAAAATGCTGTCAGAAAGTGTGACAGCTCAACTTCTCCCAACCCTGTTAAGTCCTTCTATCTGGGACAGCCAGTCACTGGTCGCTGATGATGAGATTTTTGCAGTGATGGTGGGGAGTCTGACCAAGAAAGAATTCTTGAAGATATCTTTGGTGCAAAGGGTGATTTTATTAAAGCACGGGGACAGGATCCGTGGGCAGAAACAGCTGCTCCAGACCCTGTGGTTCTGTGTTTGGGAGTTGAGGGAGGGAAAATTTTCAATGAGATTTTTAAATGCTAAAGAAGATTCACAGAATACCAGAGTTCTGCTATTGTCAAGCTAAGATTGTTTTTCCCTGTAGCAAAGTATTAACATTAGAATGCTGGAGAAATGTTTTACTCAGCCAGCCTCAAGCATCTGTCAAATGGGCTACAGATTATGAGGAAATTTAATTTTACCTGCCATTTCCTTCTTGCCTTTTCTTTACTTTTTTTTTTTAAATGTTTTATTTATTTCTGAAAGAGAGAGACCGCGTGAGCAGGAGAGGGTCAGAGAGAGAGGGGGATACAGAATCTGAAGCAGGCTCCAGGCTCTGAGCCAGCTGTCAGCACAGAGCCCAATGCAGGGCTTGAACCCACGAACCGTGAGATCATGACCTGAGCCAAAGCCGGACACTTAACCGACTGAGCCACCCAGGTGCCCCCTTCTTGCCTTTTCTCCCCCTTATCATTATGGAGGAGTGACGTTGGAGTTCCAGTAAACTGAGTTTATAGGTTTCTGGAGATTAGGCTATTGATAAGATTGCTTTCTTCTTGTAATTTACTAAGATATTTGTAAACTGACTGAGACCCATGTCCCGTAGGACTGTGATCTCTATCAGTTGGCCATTTGTTGCCTTGGGCAACCAGGAGTGCCTGAGGAATATCCCACTTATCCCACTTAGCTGTAAGGAGTGGGTGTGGGACTAGCTTGCCCTTTGTCTTCAGCCTGCCCCAGGCTCCCTCATTACTGAGAAATTAGAGCCTAGGAAGCCCTCAACTGTGACCCTGATACATACTCTCTTGTTGGCCCAAGGCTGTCTGCCACTAGAGCAAAGGAGAAAATAGGCTTTCCTTTGGTCAAATATTGCCCGGCTTTTGGCAATAGTTTCAAGACCTCTGCTACCTAAAACACTGACTTCTGCTCTCCAAAGAATCTTTATCACACAACCCGAGATAGATGTACAAATACTGCCAGGACAAGCCAGGTAGTGAAATGTGCAGGGCTGCTTTACTGCTAGAAATGTGTCTAGAGCTTTACACATGATCAGACAACCTTTTCAACAAATATACAAGGCCACAAACTAGGAGGTCCAGTGACACTGGCTGGTGTCCTAGTGATAACGATAAATCTGTTATAAGATGGCCAACAGGACTGATAAGGAAATGCCTGTCCCTGATCGAAGGCTCCCGCTTCCAGGTTCTTCTTCCCACCCTGTTTGTCACACACATTAATGAGGAATGCAGAAGTAACGGGCTATAAATTATTCCCTCTATTGATGCTCTGAGCTCAGACTTCTGGAGAATGATCTCCTCTGAGCCCACAGTGTAAAATAAACCTCCTCCCTTCCAAGAGCTCCAAGTGCCACTTGGTTCTTCCACCAGTGATCCAGACCAGATTCCATAACACTGGTGCTATTTTGAGAGCCATAGGATGGAATTTTGTGAAGAGATTTATTTTGCTGAGAATAGTACTGCTTGTTATCCGCAAAGGGAATGGCTGACAGAACATTAGATTCAAGCATTCTCTATTTGTTCCTCATATTCCAGATCACAGATGGCTCTGCAAAAGATCCTGGGTTCCCAACAAAGTAGTAAAACTAGAGGTTTCTATTAAAGAGAATTGTCTGACCTACATGGCATGGCTGTCTTTGATGCTAGTAATATGGTGTGTATCTCTAGGCCCTATGTGCAGATACTCTGTACATGAATTACCTTAATTTTATAGAAGCCCTAGGAAGTTGGTCCTATTACCATTCTCATTTCGCAATGCATAGAGAGGTTACATGGCAAACCCAAGTTCCTGACACTGGCAGGAAGCACAGTGGGTTAGGATCCTGGCAGTCTGAGTCCAGAGTCCAAGCACTTTCCCGGGTTGACTCCCTGTGCAAGGAACCCTGGCTATCACCAGGCTTAATCTTTTAAAATGCTGTTGAATTTGCTTTGCAGTTGTTTTTTTTTTTTTTTTTAATCTTTGTCCCATCTTTATCAGATTTTGCTATTTAGGTTACCCTGGCTTTGTTAAATAAACTGGGGGACAGTCTTTCACACTGTTTTCCAGAGTGGCTGCACCAATTTACATCCCCACCAACAGTGCACAAGGGGTTCCTTTTTCTCCACATCCTTGCTGACACTTACTACCTCTTGTCTTTTTGGTAATAGTCATCCTAACAGGGGCGCCTGGGTGGCGTAGTCGGTTAAGCGTCCGACTTTCGCTTGGGTCATGATCTCGCGGTTCGTGGGTTCGAGCCCCGCGTCGGGCTCTGTGCTGACTGCCAGCTCAGAGCCTGGAGCCTGTTTCAGTCTGTGACTCCCTCTCTCTCTGACCCTCCCCTGCTCACGCTGTCTCTCTCTCTGTCTCTCTCCTAGAAATAAATAAAACATTTAAAAAAATTAAAAAAAATAAAAAATAAAAGATAAGGGCAATATCATAAAGATGTTCATTGAAGAACTATTCATAATACCAAAAAGAAGTGATAGGATGACTAACTGAATCATTGTGTTTCCACTGAGAGGAATATTACCCAGTTATTAAAAGTTCAGAAAATCATTAATCAGCTTTAAAGCTTATGATAATAAGATTCAAAGGTACATTAGATTATAATCTTGTTAAAATATTTATGCACTTGGACAAAGACTAGGAGGATGTATACAAAATACAAATGAACCAGGGTACTGGGCTCAGCGGTTATTTGTTTTTTATTTTCCCAACCTTTGAATTTATTAATCTTATCATGCCTGATCTGGAGCATAATGAGGTTTGACATCGGTCAGTGCAAAGCAGTTCCAGGATGACCTCCGGAAGACTCGACAGCACATACGAAATGCTTCATGACACGTCCATATGGTGGAATGCTATGAAGATAGTTTTTTAAATGATTTGGAAAAATACGTAATAGCAGAGAGAAATGTTGATAGCATGTGGTTAAACACATGATCTCAATTTTATTTAGGCAAA